TAGCATACTCCTATTTCACCATATCAATCTTTTTATATATAGTAAACCCTTAAGATTAAGTATTAGTACAAAAGTAATGACGAATACTTCAAAGCTTTTGCCCTTTACAACAGAACAGAATATACTACACCTTGCTGCTTTTGAAATAGCAAAACATTTGGGCTAAGCACATACTGAAATACACGCACCATACTTTTTTAAAGAAGAAAATCAATGTGGTTTTGAGTGTGAGCTCATGGTTTTAGTCTAAATTTTATTGTGTTTTTGGGTTTTGATTTTTATGAGATAAAATATATAAGTTTGAAAAAATGTTAAGGATTGTGGAAGTGCATTATAAAAGTATCCTGACTTATTGTTTTGAAAGTAATTAGACATGTCGCTGACACAAATGTCTCGCTGCGCGTCGAATACTTTTTTGGTGAGAAAAGTTCACTGTTGGTCATTTTTTGACTTTGGAAGCCTTCTTCGTTTTGTTGTCGAGTTGAGGCAAAATCATATAAAAATGACTGTTGGCAAGCAAAAGTTGAATGAGATCATTCATTGATCGTAAATCCAGACCGAGAAGTGGTAGATACAAAAGTAATTGAATCTTTAGTATACATGACGTTTCCATCATTGTCTCTCCACGTGATATCATACTTATCGACTTTTGGTATGGTTGCATGTAAAATTACTGGTCTTTTAAATGTATAAGCAACAATCTGAGGGCATCCGTAACAATCAAACCAAAGACTCAAGTCATCAAGACAGGGAGCTTTTGATGATTGCAACTTTTTCAAGGTATATGCTTCGTTTAGCCCATATGTGTTGTAATTAGTGTTAGCATACTTTGTAAAGGTAACTAACATCATTTTCTTTACTTGAATTCAAGCGATTTCATTTTCAAATACAGCGAGGCTTACAGCACGATACCCGTAATTACCATCGGAATGGGGGTTGACAAACCCAAGTACATCGTTGACCCATATACCATCTAGCAATCCAAACAGACCACTGTAATCTGCTTCACGAGTTACGACAGTGGAAGGCTCGTATCTAGAAGAAAAAATATTGGTGTCATTGTTGTAAAGTAATTAAAAAATATAACATACACCCAATACTTTGACTTGGTCCGCTTGATCACGGCTGTTGATGCCTTTGCGAAGACTGAAGGTAGGTTTTTTTTTTTTGGGGGTTGCTATTCCACTATAAGTGCTTACTGCTTCATTTTCTTGACTTTTTTTTTCTCTATAGAGATTTTGTCATCTTCGTACTCCACACCAAGTTTGTTTCTTTTTGTGTCTTTTGGTAGACCCTTTTAGATTTCCACTGTTTCAGGAGCAAGGGCAGTATACAAACGGTCGGTCGAGTACTTGACAATCAAAGAATCCATGTCTTTTAAAAGATCAGCTGATTCCTGTTGACTCCTCAAGACTTTACACAAAGACAGCAATTTTTCAAGTCTTAGCTGAACTTCATTTTTGTATTGTTACCTGATTCAGGACAACCGTAGCAACATTTTTAATAAAATTCCACATGTTGGTATGGTTATCTCGACAGAATTGCTGTTGGATATTTGTCAAATCTGTTACAATGAGGTTATTCACACTTCTTGTTTCAAGCATTTAGTCACCAAGAGAAATTATTATTATAAGCCAAAATACAAAGAGGCATAGATAGGTTAAAGAATATGCACAAAATAATTTTATTTATTATGACTACAACTTCACTAACTATTGAATTCTCAAATGCCTTCTATATGTAAATTTTCAACCTTACCTTCAATGCTTCACTCGGCGTTGTTCCTGCACGCATAAGACTGATTACAAGCTCTTGGTCTTCTGCATTGAGCTTGCGATTGTTGTGATAAGCTCTTCTATCCTCACTCAAGGGATGATTAGGCTCAAAACAGCTGGTTCTGATTGTCCATGGCCGTCCGACAGCTCTCGCATTCTTACGAACATATACAAATGCCGAGCACCCTGTTCTTCCAATGGTTCGATTGGGTCTTTGCGTAACACTCTCTAATCCCTCACCAGTTCCAATATCCTCTTCATCTAGTTTTACAATTAATTTATCGGATTATTATACGACCATATCGCAGATTTAAATTTATATTACCTCCACCCTTCTTTGCGGCACGGTATTTGCCAAAATACTTACAAATCATCTTGATGTATGATTTATCGCTTTTACAAGCCTCAGAGGGGATGTTGTTTGCTTCACTGAAAGACTGTATTTTCAGTCTTGCAGTGTCCTTGTCGATAAAGGTTTTTCCCACGGGAAACTCGGCTTCGATAGCAGCCTTCAATTCGATGATTCGTTCATTAATGGAAACAGTCTTGACAAAAGAAGAGACATGTCGTGTGGCTTCGACACTAACGTCTTACTCCTCAGGCTCACTAAGCCATTCCAAGTCGAAGTCGCCAGTCGTTGTTTCCTCGGCAATAGCTTGCTCAGCGTTTTGTCTGTCAAAGGGTCTTCTCGAAACTGTCTTTGGTTTCTTCGGCAGGGTTTATTAAAGATAAAAGACTGTTGATCAACAATTGGCTTTCGCTCAAAGATTGGTGTAAATCGTTTGAATTCATTTCAAGAATAAAAGTTTAAAAGAAAGCCGTACACAAGTGTGGTGCGCCAGCGCCAGAAAAAAGTTCATGTGCAAAAAGTCATTTTTGGTCCGACCCGGAATTTATTATTTGACCGGCACAGAAAAGTATGGTGCGCGTATAATTAGCCTTCCCTTTTTATTATTTTGCTTTTTTTTCTTTGGGTGTCCAATGAGTAATTACAGAGTCCTTGTCAAGTTCACTACAATAAAGGGACAAGAGACGGGTCTTTAAACACTTTGTCATATCGTAAGTTATTTTACATTGTTGTCATCACTTGCTAATTATGTACTTCCAAGACAGTTTTCCTTTTTTTATTATGTTGTCGAGTCATGTTTCACTGGAATATAAACGCTACTTGAAGACCAAAGTAAAGGTACGTACGTTATTCCCGGCTTTATTTATTCATGTATCCTTTACTTACATTCTCATCTGTATAGGCTTGGTTTGGACCTGAACTTTATTATTTATACAATGCCCAGGTAAGAACACCCGCTTGTACAGTTTTATTTTGTATACTAACCAAAAGGTTTAGAGCCCTTTCACAGAATCAACTTGAGGCCTGGGCAACATGAAGGTGTAGGAGCTAAATGTATTGTAAACGAGAGAGAGGAAATGAGTACACGTGTGGGGATCCAGCTTACAGCCAAAAAAAAAAAAAAGATATATCCAAAACGACGCTATTCAATGTTTATACTGAAAGGAGATATTCCAGATGTTTGTGCACAGACGATCATGTAAATTGGGGTTGTTGTTGTTAAAAAGACGTTCCTGGGATGCAAAGAAAGAAACAACAATCAATGTATAAATACGATCTCTGTTTATACGATAGATTTTATGCTACATTTGGACCTTTGTTAACGATGGGAGAAGAGGAATAAAGTTTTTGTTGTCCCATTTGCGTTGAATAAATGTCGATTCTGTATACATGTGTCCGTATGTGTGTTACAGGAGAGGATGTAGTATCTCTTTTTTAAAAAGCATATTGAATAAATGTATTTTTATAAACAATCAGCAGCATGTGATCAAGTCTATATAAAAGAGAGATATTTTGATTAAGGAAAAAATCATCTTTTTTATATCATTTCAAATGAACAGCCATAACAATACCTCTGCCTCCATTACCGCTATCAAGTCCACCACCACCACCACTACCAACAGCAAGTAACAATGAGCATTGTATACGAAGGGCATTATATATATATATATAAAAAGACTAAAATCAATAGTTTTTTTTCTTGTATAGAGATGAATCTCTTTCCAAATGACTCTTTTTTCCTTTTGCAATATAAGTAAAGAAATAGCCACTGTTTTTTTATATATGAATCCTTTTTATACTTGATGCTAGTAATTGTGCTTATTTTTTTTCAAAAGAGACTACGATATATAGGATAAAGACTCTACATTTATAATGGTGCTCCTTTTCCTTGTTCATTGTCCATGTAAGTGAAAGTGATACCACCTAGATTAACGCTAATCGATGACACACGTACATCCATACCAACACTTTGACTTTATAAAAATAATCAATCTATTCCTGTATCCCTTCTCATTCATTCCAATAACTGCCTCGGTGATGTCGAGTATGAACACTAAACAGCGTCCATCGTATCCACCATTATGTGTATATTAAAGAATAACATATAACATGTCCTTGAAACTCTGGTATTTTAAAATTTATTTTTTCGTGTCTTTGGCCTTGTTGGAAGCCTCTTCTTGAAGTGTCTCGGGTGCTATAATTTCGCAGTCTGCTTCATATAACGCTATTTCAATCATTTCCTGGTAACGATCAGGATCTAATAAAACGACAAGTTTTTCAATAAGTTCATTCCTTATACTAGTCGACGTATTGTTTACAGTTTGACTTGATGTCCATCAAGTAGATGGCTAATCCTTCCGTTACTTGTGCTTCCATTTTGTTTAATACCTCCATTTTGTTAAATAAAATGGTTAAAAGCGAAACAAAAAAAAAAAAATGTCACAAATACTTCAAAAGCTTACATGACATACTATGTGATTGAATTTATTAAAAATATCATGAGCAGCAGTAAAAAGGGCAAACAGAGACTATTGATTGGCGTCATCTTAGATTTACATTTTTTAAAATATCAATATGGATGTATGTGGGAGAGTGTAAATTACTAAAACTAATGGTAATGCATATGTTTTTCATCAACAGTCTTGATTAAATTAATAACAGCATTTCTCCATCGATACATATCCCCGGTTTTTTCTAGGAAACGTTGAAGTACATTTGGCCTGGTAGGAATTGGTACTACAGTAGTCGCTTGATTTAAGGGTACTTTCTATTTAAGGGTGGATTTTGGAAAAACAGCTTCCGTCCTCCGCATTAACGCCACTATTCTATTTAAGGGTGAGATTTCCGAAATTTTTGCTCACCCTTAAATTGAGAAACTACTGTAATGAATACGCTCTGTGAGTATAAACATCTTCATGTAACTTGACAGCGGACTCCAAGTAGAACTGACCGTCTATAAAGAAAAAAAAATACAAATCAGTGCCGGCCTAATAGAACGTACTAATGAGATTTACTTACCGTAGAATCTTACAACATATTCAGGTATGGGTAAAGTTAAATCCGTTGAAGCCGTGATATAATCAATTGATTTTTTACAAGCAGAAGATAATTTAACCAAATCTTGATTTTCTTTTTTATCAACATTATTAAAATTAATGCCTCCAGAAAATTCTATCAAAACAGGGGCGATTTTTTTTGTTTTTTAAACTAAATCCGACTCCATCCCATTTTTGATTGTCGGTCATATGGGTGCGGACCTCGTACCTATCAAAACAAAAAATATTTAATAACGTACATTATGAAAATAATATAAATACTAATATTCACCATTAATAACCCTATGAAATCGTTGATATCAATAAAAAGATTCGTAAGAATCCTAATTATCGTATTAACGGCTGTTGTTCTTTCTAATTGCGTGCAAAGCAAAGGGTTCAAAGGACTATTCATAAAATTTAAATTGTAAAAAAAAAAAGGGGGGGGGGGAGTTAGTTGCGGATTATACGTATATTGAATTTTTTTGCATACTAATGGTTTGAAAGTGTCTCAAACATTTCCATCAAATCAAAGTCAGTATTTTCTCCTGTGTTCTTTCGGACGAGATTACGTAACGTGCATAATTATTTTACTGACTCTCTGCATGCGAAACTATCGTGTATTGGCTGATACAGCAACACCAAGTCTCTCAACATCCCAAGACTTCTTCTTCTCTACATCCTCTAAGTGTTCATGGTGATGTCTCACTTTTTTCTTGACAAATCACTTTTTTGTTTTTGTGCCAGGAAAAGGAGTGTTTTTATGCACGTTAGCAGCATCATTATCATACTGCCTTACCTCTTCCAAAAGGTAATCATCCAAAACGATGTTTGCTTTGGACAAAGTGCCGTAGTTCAGCAACCACCCAGAAAAATCTGGTAGGCCATATAATCCTTGTGATCATCACGGATCAATGACTGTAAAATGTAGTTAAGTTTACTAGTTTTATAAATATTTAAATTAAAAACTTACAGACAACTCAGAATAAACTGATGGCCGCAGTCCAGTAGCAGCGGGGGGAGCAGCATTTCTTCAAGTCTTGCCAATCTTTAATGCACAGGGAGTGTCGCTCAACCTGCAATAGTAGTATTGAGCGCCAGCACAAAAGAAATAGCAATTGCTGGCGTACGTAATTCACGAGAGCTTGTTACAGATTCTTTAATTTTGGACAAGAGGATAGCGGCCGCCTCACTAACCTGAAAGGTAGGAAGATCCATATCATTTTTAATTTGTTCAATTACTTCTCGACTAACAAGCCCTGTAAGTCTCACATCATCAAGATTTATAAGAGAAGAACCAGTAAGCCTTTTAGAAAAAAATTAATAAATATATTATTCAATACATATTTGAAAATGGACACACTTACAATCGATATTGTAAATGGCCTTCTTTTAAATTATTGACCATGTTCGACTCGTTTGTGATAATATTGGACATGGTAGAGCTATCTTCTACCGAAACAAGGTTTGTTTGGATCTACCAGACTGTGAGTTGTTAATTTGAATATACCAGACAATAAACAAAAAAAAATTTAAGTACTCACTGTCTTTCCAATATTGCCGAGAACACTATCTTGGACCTCCCTTACAACACTTGTTGACTGTTCCCGCAAGTAAGTGGAGCTGGCAGTATTTGACCTCGTGCTCCAATATTCCATATAGCTTTTGTGGAAAGTACTATGCACAACATAATGGTTCTATATATATATATACACATATATAGCGCCTAAGGTTGTTTTGTTTGTTTGTTAGTTAATGTTTATTCAATTTACTAAAACAAAAACTTAAGAGCTATATCTTACATGTTACCTTTCCATAACACAAAGAAAATAAGAATTTAGAAATAGTTCTAAATCCTTATGTTCTTTGGACATTTAAAAGTCAAATTTCCCTGCTGAAAAGCCCTTTTCAGCGGCAGAAAATCTGAAAAGGGTGCTTGAAATGTTTGTAATTTCAAGCACTCCTTTTATCAAAAGTTGACCCAATGAATACCACCGAGTTCTCAGTACTTCTTATAATTAGCGTTAGCCTTAAAATTTTAACTGTGACATTAAGGAGTTACCTCTAATAAAACGTGCGATCTTTCGATATCCGTTAACACGAATATAAAATATATCATGAACGAGTATTGGCTTACACTCGTTAATGATATAAGAGAAAAACTACTAGAAACGGGGAAGGACAGGAAAAGGGAATGTAAAGGAAAGGAAAGAGTGGGAAAATGAAGGTAAGGGGAAAGGAAGGTAAGATGAGGAAAAGGGAAAAGTGAAGGAACGCGAAGGTATTTGTATCTTTTGATCAATAAATCACTTGATAGCGGGGATTCATAGCACTTTGGAAAGTCCCAGAACGTTCTCGCCTCATTAAACACTTAAGCAATGCTATTTATGATATATTAGGGCGTTAAATAAACATGTAAACATCGAGTGCTATTGGTCCAGAATTTCACTTTATCAAAAATATAATTTTATACTTGTTTTTATGTTTATTACGCCCCCGTCTTGATGTTGTACCGCACACAAAACAAAACATCAGCCGCCGTTTTTACATAATCCTCTCATCTCACCTTGAATTAGATGGAAGCTACAAATTCTCCACTTACAACAAAACAGGCTTCATACAGGTATTACTTGAGTATTCATAATGAAATTCACTATGGACCAAGATATGGCAGTTATTACCAAAATCTGCATAAATTCTCCAATTTTTTTTTTGCGAGCCAATGATATCTCGTATGAGATCTATATTTACTTTTATGTTTTTGGTAGGAAAAAAAAAGTACCAAAAAAGACATAGTTTTATTTATAAACTCATACGAAATACTATCCCCAATGCAAACGAACTTTTAAAACTAAAGTTTTTTTGAATTTTGGAAGAGTTACAGCCATTTGAATTTTTTTTTTTTCAGCTTCAGGAATTGGTGATTGATATGTAAATCAGCGTTTTTCCACCCATTTTTCAGGAAAGGGGTATACATAAACCGACCAATGTTAAGGAACTTCTTTTTTCCTTTTTTTTTTTTTTTTTTTTTTTTCCAGTGAATAAACCAATCAGAAACACGAAATTTTTGCATGAAAAAAAAAGTGAGGGAGCTGTTACGTGAGGGATGTCCCCGGTGGCCATGATTAAATGCACTTTTGCTTTTACACTCTCACCATTCCATCTTTCGACAATCAACCCATGTTTACCAAGGCTTTTTATCTCATCAACAATCGATAAGAAGAAGGAATCTAAGTCCTTGGGCTTACCAGGAATAGTGACAAGTTGAACCATGTACTGATTTGTATATTCTATGTCAATCATTGCTTCTGAAAACATAAAGCTAACTTTACCTTATAGATGGGTCGAAATTAAGTTCCAGTACATGCACAATTGTCATTTCTTGCTTCGATTTTGACTGATTGACAACTCCATCGACAAAGAGTACCAGAGCAATATCTTCGGGAGACTGAAAAAGGTCGGCAGCTTTTAGAGCCTTGTAGTCCTCACCGTCAAAGTAATCAGAAATGTTTCCTGGATTTTCCTTGCGATCATGACGGTAACGTAACTTTTGTCGTGTTTCCTCATGACTTAAAAGCTTAGACAGCTGATCACCAACGGACATCATCTTTATTGTTTGGACTGGAATTAACACGGAGCCAGGAACCTCGCTTTCGTATCTACTTTCTTTACATACAGAGCAAACTTTTTCATCTTGGGTAATATCAAAGAGCTGACAAACATTTTTGCAATTATCATACTCATGAGCTTTGATTGTTCTTTCCTTTAGAAGAGTAGACACAGGACCGGCATAAAAAATATGGGGGTTATATTCTGTCATTAATGGAATATTCAGTAATGTCTGTATGTATGTATATGGATGTATAGAAAACCCTTTACCTTCGGCTAATTTTTCATGATCTCTGATAACAGTATTCATAAGGCGCACAATCTGACGATGGCATCCAGAAAAGACTTGGAAGGATGTGACGATATCATACAACTCGATACTCCTTAGCTTTGATGTAGTAAACGCGTGCTCTTGGATAGAGGCTTCATCATAAACGTGTCCTTCGTCACCAGGGCTAAAATTGCAAGAGGCCTTTAATGTTCTCTGCTCGTTAGGATCAAAAAAAATCTCGAAATAAAGTTTAAAATTAGTATTTTGATTTTGTGTATGCCCATTTTATCATAACTGTCATACTAGTTTGGGAGGTATTAGCCGAGGTTGACACTCTGGCTGTCTCTACATTATCGACCATAATGATTTATTTATTCTGAACAGCGACACTGTGTTCGATATGAACAGCATGCATACGCTTGTCGTTACGAAAATTTACACGGGTGGTCGAACTTTCGATTGCATTGGTCGCACGCAATAGGAACGGAAAGCTTCATACGGTTGAATTGGTTTTGCATTGTAGAAGAGAAATGTAATATTGGTTGTTATTAAAGAGTAAAAGTTAGTAGGTTTCTATAAATTATTTATATAAAAAGTTGCTGGCTTGTGCACGACAATGTATGAAATTAATATATTAAAGAATGTGCATAAATTTATATGGCCAATTGTTTTTTTTTGTTTTTTTTTTGTTTGTTTGCTGATTTATCCTTAATTTATCATTGTACTCTGTTCGTCCCTTTAATTTGAATGTTTAATTTATTAAGATGAATAAAAATTCTAGCAGCAACATAATGTGAACATCCACAAGCGATGATATGGTTAGGGCTGTCTTTAATGAGGTAATTGAACTCAAATCATCGGTTTTGAGATTGGATGAACGGTTTGCTATTCAGTTTTCACCTGCACCAAGTAACGAAAATGTAACCAGTTCTTGCGCCTTCGCAACTGCAGGTGATAAATCGATGATAATTTAGGAAAAATGACAAGTAAGATTAAGCAGATTGCAAAAATTAACTGAACTTTTATTAACATAAAATTTAGGGGTCCTTTATATACGTATTGAATTCGACCTCCTTCTTAGACAGGGCTAGATGACAGGCAAGATTATGACCGACACGCCATATCTTGAAAGTTAGTAATTCAATGAGAATCATATAATAGAAGAAAGAGTGGTGCACGTTTCTGTAATAGGTCTGTAGTGTCACTTGACGCGTACATTTAAAAGTCATCAAAGTACATTCAAAAGTTTATCGTGTTTGTACTTTTAAACCTCGCTTGTCATTGGCCTCCGCTAATCTGATTAGTACAATATTTGAATAATGTCTTTTTATAATAATTGTATAATAAATGTATACTTTTGCACTTGTATTTAGCTTGATGAATATCGTGCTAGTTTGTTAAGTCAATTATGAGTATTTAATATGCAACATTAAAAGAAGTGTTTATAAAATTATCGTAATGGATAAAAATATGCTGTGTGGATCAAGTATATATGAATATATAAAGCTCGATCACAACAGCAGGTACTATAGTGTTTACAGTTATGTGATAATTATGTGTAAAAAGCTGTCTCTCAAGGGATTGACTTTGTAGCCAAGGAAAGAGAGATGGCCAGAGTCAATGCCCATCCGGATAGTTTTGGTGCCCAAAGTATCGTGACTACCTTGCCAGGGGCTAGTAGGATAGAGTTCTAGCCAACGCGTACAAACATAACACATTGCGCTAATACATGTATTGATGCATTGATCGTCTACTGTATCTGTGAAAAAAAAACCCCCATCAACTCTTCCGCAGAGATAGGCCACGCAAAATGTAAGGAATTTATACTGCAGTTTCTGAGCATCACTCGCCGCTTACGATATGCAATGATTCATGAGGGTACAGTTGCCACCAGTTGGGGGAGTCTCTCACCTTAAGAGAGAACATAATATGCTTTGAAACTTGAAAGCGATATCTTGGATTATGGATATCAGATCTACAAGTGCAACAAGAAATGGGTAGCTAATCTGCTCATTCAAAACACAATAAAGGGGCGACGCCAAAGGAAAAGACGAAGGGTAAGGTTAATTTCAATAGTTAAGTGAAATCTTATAAATCTCACAAATTAACATAAAATAGGGTTGGGGTTTCCCCCGTTGTAGAGGCTCAAGTAGTAGAACTTGAAGCACCAACTGCAGCTAGAAATACCAGACGTAGATAACATTCTTCTGATTTTTTATATCAATTTAAAAACGTTTTAGCTTTGAGTTCTCTTTTTCTTTTCTTCCTATATTATTTTATTTTGTCTTTTCTAAGGTATGCAATGCTATTGACCTATTTCCTGTTCAGTTAAATGGTAAGATATGTTATTTTACACTTATTAAACTAATAAAAATTGTTTGTACAGTTACACAAGCATCACAAGCATTACAAAAAAACTGAGGCACAAATCCGTAACACTTGCTATAACTGAATCGGTAAACAAATTTTTGTCAGAATAGATGTGATTATGAATACTCTTTTTTTTTTTTTTTTTTTTTTTTTTTTTTTGGAATATTAATGTTATTATGTGGTTCAGACCTCACCCCAAGCATTGGCATTATGCTTTGACTATTAAATCTGCAGGATCTCATGTTCTGTTTAAATATCTTCAGTGGTGGATATTAAATTTTGCACATTTCCTAAATTCCATTCCATATTGATAATTATAGAAATGCATTCCAATTCATCATTTCCGAAGGGCCTTTCATTATGGACGAGCATTCCAATCAATATACATTCTTTCATTTTCAAATTTTAATTAAAGAAAATACGTTGTAGACTGAGAAATTCGAGAGATAAAGCAACGAATTAAGAATAAAAATAAAGAAATTTGACGAAGTAAAATTATCAAACTGCAAAAATAAACTAAAGTCTTTATTATACAATAAATTGGGTTCTTTATATACATATTCAGGGCTGGCTGAATATCAATCATTAAAGTGAAACCTGTCAAATATACAATAGGCGTATTGTCAATTAAAGATCGAGCATCTCATGGTACCTTCGAGAATCTTGTTATTGACGAGCGATCATATCATTGGATTGTATTATCTGGAATAAATGTATGACTATTGTTTTCTATATGTTGATGAGTAATCAATGCGTAGTAAATAGAGTGTAATAGCATGTATTTGATTTAAAGAGTAATGCAATAATGATTTATAGAAAGGTTATCAAATAAGAAAGAAAGAATTGCTGATAGAGTTATATCTGTATATAAGCTCGATCACAACATAGACCTATAATGTGCATCTGAAATAATAATTTCAAAAAAAAAAAATTGGTAATTTTATCCACCAATTTCTTTAAAATTAGTAGTTTTTTTCAGCATTTTAATGGGACCAATGCATCTAGATAACCCTATTTTGTTTTTTAAAATAAAGAAAGCCAATCGTTGGTCCTCTATTTCCGTTATGTTTGCGCATATCACATATTATATCCAATTGGGACATGGGAATATCAGTTTTTATTAGCGAAAATTTACCCGGAGGATAAATAGTGCCAATTATATTAGTATGTATTAGACAAATAATGTGAAATAAACACTAAAAAAATTGGGGGGGGGGGATTTGCTCAAAAGGAAAAAAAAACTACCAACAATAATAGTGTATTTGTCACTGGTTGGTTGGAAAAAACTACCAAGAAAATTGGTATCAAAACCCTCGTTTGGTGGTTCCACAAGCTCACATCCACCAATATATTTGGTTATGCGTAGGGTAGAAAAAGCAACAATAATCAGTAAATTGGTAATAAAACTACTATGCTTCCATTTCTAGTGATAATCATTCTTAATATATTGATGTCATGGATATGGATTTATTTAATGTAGCAATAATATAGCAGATCACCACATGTGAATGTGCATGTACATGTGTGTGTGTGTGTGTGTGTGTGTATGTATGCCCATGTGAGTGTGTGTGGTATGAATTATTAAAATTAATGGTAATGCATGTGTTTTTTATCAACAGTCTTGATTAATTAATACCAGCATTTTTCCATCGATACATATCCCCGCTTTTTTCTACGAATCGTTGAAGTACATTTGGCCTGGTAGGAACTGGTACTACGAAATACGTTCTGTGAATATAAAAATCATCATCTAACTTAACAACTAATTCAAAGTAAATATGAGCGTCTATAAAAGAATTATCAAATTAGTGCACGCCTCATAGAACTTACTTGTAATATCGTAGATATCAAATGGGTCTTTAAGAATAATCAAAGTAAAGATAACCTTTTATTAAGAGTTGAATGAGCTCGTATTTATACTTTTACGAAGCTGTGTCTAAACTAATAGTAGATCCAATCGGGATTTACTATTCAATCGTTTATCCATTTGAATTGAATAAATGTTTATCCATGTATTCTTATTCGTTCATAACAATCTTTCCATGATTACGATCTCCAGTCTGTCTACTGAGATCTAATATTGGATTTCTATTGTTTCTATGATTCAATACATCTGCGATACAACATTACTGATATAATTACGTACCATAAAACCTTACAACATACTCAGGTACAGGTACAGTTAAGTCTGTTGTAGCGGTTATATAATCGATGGACTTTTTACAAGCAGAAGAGAGTTTTTCCAGATCATGATTCTCTTTTGTACAGCTGTTATTAAATTGAATTCCTCCAGAGAACTCAATTAATAAAGGTGTTAGTTTTTTGTTGCTAACACAGAATCCAACTCCATCCCATTTCTGATTTTCGGTCATATGCGTGCACACTTCATACCTATCAAAAATAAACTGTTTTTAACATGTATAATTAAAGTAATATAATTACTAATATTCACCATTTAAAACTGATTACATCGTTCACATCAATGAAGAGATTGGTAAGAATGATGATGGTAGTATTAACAGCGGCAGTTCGTTCTAACTGTTGACCAAGCAAAGGATTCAAAGGGCTATCCATTAAATTTAAGCTGTAAAAAAAAAAAGAAAGAAGGTTAAAGGAGCACTCAGCAAATAAAACATTTACGTACTAATGATTGGAAAGAGTCTCAATAAAGTTTACATTCAAATTTATATCAAACCTTGTAAAATAAACAAAACTTGCAGAGATATATACATCCACCTTGTTATAGTAGTCATTACCATAAAAGTTTCTAGAAAAATAAAATAAAAATCTATTTAGAACATGCCCCCTATTTTTTTTTTTTTTTTTTTTTTTTTTTTTTTTTGGTTTTGTTATAGTTACCACATCGTACGATTCCATCAAATCAAATTCAACATTTTCTCCAATACTTTGTCGGATTATACGTCGTAACCTATGGGAACTTGGCACGGACTTCACCAGTTTAGCTAGAAGTGCAGTAGCTTCTTCACTAATTTGGAACATAGGCAAAGCAGTATCATCGAGAGCTTGACCACCAACACCGATAACACCGAGAGTTTCACCAATTCTACCACACAGAGCTTCACCAATTCTACAACACAGAGCGTCACCGATACCACCACAGGTAGGTACACCAATACCGAGAGTTGTTCCAACACCGAGAGTTGTACCAATACCGAGAGTTGTACCAAAACCGAGAGTTGTAACAACACCGGGAGCTGTAACAACACCGGGAGCTGTAACAACACCGAGAGCTGTACCAACACGGAGAGCTTTACCACCAACACCCAGAGCCTTATCGACACCTGCACAAAGAGCTTCACCACCGTATTTGCACTATGAATCTTGCTTTTTTACAGTGGCCAGTGGGAGCAACAACTATATACATTTTGACTTAATTATCATAAAATGTGTCTAATCAAACATAACAATGATTCATTTAGAACTATACCTCTTTTTTTTTTTTGTTATAGTTATGTACCTAATATTTTTATGCATATCATCCAAGCAAATAGTTGTAGAAACTCATTTAGACGTAACCTGGGTTGATACCAACTTGACACCTGAAAATTAGACCTAACACGGAGATTCATTCTTGTCCAGATTTCTAATGAGAAGCATTCATTAAAGTAATTCACCTCACTTTTTTAGAATATCACTTGCTACAGGTCGATGGAAGCTTTAGTTGGGGGTTGGGTCAAAGCACCAGCTTAAACTGTTAACTAAATTCTTCCGAAACTACAACTCCAAAGCATTGCATCGCAACCTTACATCATCACTAACCGCATTTCGCTCTTTTGTCGGAAGAGATTTCAAAATCCTCGTACAACTACTCCCAACACTTTTACAAAAAGCAAATGTTTTTTAACCCTTCATTGTTCGATGAAAATCAAGATTCCTTTAGATCCATGTTTGAATGCTTTGACAATCTTGGCTTACTCGCTTCACTGGTATATATGGAAAAAATTGACAATTTTAACTACCACAAAAAAATATTAGATATAACTGTGTCAAAGACCATCACAGCTATGGACGACTTACATCTTACGACCGTTAAACCAGTTTGATATTTTGCAGGATGTCTTGATTAACAAGACCTGTGAGTCTATTACCACCAAGGTTGAGAAGAGACGAAACAGTGAATCTTTCAGAAAAAACATTAAAAATATATTTTTTACTACTTGTTTGAAAATGAACACACTTACAACTTAAATTGAACAATTCCTTCCTTCAAATAATTGGCGTTATCGAATTCGTCTGTAAACGTATTTTGTTTACTACTGGAAGAAGACTCAAAGGCATTATCTTCTGCAGCCATGGTTGGTTTTATCTAGGCCTGTCAGTTTGTTTGACGATATCAGCTGACAAAAACATGTTTCAAGTACTCACTCTCCTTTTTAAAGTGCTGAAGACACTTTTTTGTATTTCCTGTGGAACATTTGAAGACTCCTCGCGCAAATAAGATCTGGTGGCTGTTGAAGACCTAGCGCTCCAATTTTCTATATATCTTTTGTTGAAGGCACTGTCTACAACATTACGTATCTAGAGAAAAAAAAAAACTTTCGTTTAAGTAAACTATTGTTTTAAGTCAAATTCAGATCTACCTTAAACCTATTAATTGCACTGGTAATGTCGATGGTATTGACTATATTGGTTTTGGCTAATGCTCTTAGCAACAGTTGGTAGTATGAGGAGTTTTTCAAGCGCTCGTCTTTGCTCGCCAACTCTGCAAACGCAAATTATTCACATGGAGGAACAAGTTTACGTGCAGACTCAAGGCAAATAGTATAAGTCCTGTCAATCTTTACTTTTCTTTTAGTCATTGAGATTAGGGAAGATGTAAAATGTATTGAAATGACTCAATATGATATTTCCAATAATTTTGAGCATTTTTTTTTTTGGCTTGAAATAACGTACGGGGAAGAACTAAAATGTTGAGGAACTCAAATATTGATATTATCACAAAAAAATGTTTTTTAATCGTTTTGCATGGGGTAAGGAAAGAAGTCACGCTAAAAAATACGTCACTTTTTTTTTGGGTAACTATACGGACACCGTTTTTTTTGGTGTAAGAAATATTTAGGGACACAGTTTTTTTGTCCGGCCCGGATTTTTTTTTTTTTTTTTTTTTTTTTTGCACTATAAAATAATTTCAGGGACACTGCTTTTTTTACGGACACCGTTTTTCTTTACGGACACCGTTTTTTTTTTAAGCACACCGTTTTTTTTACAGATGTTGTGTTTTAAGGTAAAGTAAAATTATAAAAAGACTATAGGAGTAGTTTGAGACTGTTTATAAGATTGTCCTTTATTAATAAATGAAATGTACGAGTATTTATATAAAAGACTGTCTGCTTGGTTCATATTTCTACTGCTATCTGGAAGTTATCATTGATTAACTAAAAATGAATACGATTATTACATAGTCATTAATTTAGTTTCTAATAAATGTTAAGTCTTCTTACACAGTGTTAAAAACGCAAATTCGTGATATAACCAATATGCCGGAATAGCATCGTTTTTGTTTAAAAAGAACAATACCGACAAGTTTATTTGACTCACCGTCCAAAGCCAATTATATCAGCTCCTGAAAAACAAATGGTGGGTTTATGTTGCTTGAGTACGTAATTAATGCAGCAATGTATGTCATGTGTTTCCCAAAAGATGCGACATTGTTGAATATTTATGAAATGTTCCAAAGATTTTTGATATCAGTTATCATTAAAGATAAAATCTGAACATTGCTCAATTCATCAGAGCTTGATATACTCACAGAACAATAAGTAGAACGTGCAATAATAAAAAAAAACCAAGATAAAGTTTCTCACAAAAAATACAAACAAAAAAACTTTGGTTGAATTATTTTATACCTGATGGATATTGTGTATTTTATAGAGCATACATTTACACTCCATTTTTTTATCTGTAAAAGTAGTTTTTATTGCTTCAAGATTAGCATTAAAGCATAAAAAGAATATGTTATATGTAATAGTATCCTATGATTATTTTTCAGGTTGCACAATAAAGCATATCTGCTTGAGCTAAATAAAATGTACAAATAATGCCTAATACGATTGGACATAGAAAGTAATTTTTAAAGCGAAAACGTCGTTATGATGCATCAAAAATGTCGTGTGACATTATTTCTTCTGTCGTTTCATCATACATGAAAAAAAAAGAGGTGCGATGGGAGTTGTGTACCACTCTCAGCCTTTCAAACAGTTGCATTGACAACTAATCCGACTTAGTGTGACCATGTGTCAGTAAATTTTCTATTGGTATATTGGGCACGTCTTTGTTGCCCTGTATATAAAGTAAAAAAACCGGGTACAAATTCCATCATCTATCATAATGTCTTCTACAAAAAAAGGACCAAGATTTGCCATTGCAACAAGTGTGGCGGTTGCTCAGTTCCAATCAATACTGCTACACGACATGCCGAAAAAAAAATGTACGAGGAGTCATGCCAAAAGGCGGCAGCTTCCAAAAGAAGTTTGGATGAACTAGAAGAAAGTGTGTAACCCTCATCAGATATTTACCTACAACAAACTGTAATCTATACTAACAGAAATTTTAATAGATGACGCCGTAGTAGACACCAGCTTAGAATTTTCACGTTTGAACGTATCTGTTATTGAAGCAGAGTTTGCACATGTTAATATCAGTTCGACTCAAGTTGATAACCTCTTTCAGGATGAATGCTCTTCAGGTATGCATACAAAAAAATGATTTATAACATGATGCTGAGTAATGTTTCAAGATGATGAGCGCGATTATGAAGAAGGCTTTATCTTTGATCAATCCTATAGCATTGATGCAAATGATGATAATGAAAATCAGGTTATTGTCGAAAGCAGCAGTGAGATATATTGGACCGATGAAGTTCTAACGAAATGCTAGATGATTTGGATGATCAAGGTGAAAAATTTATCATAAAAAAAGGTTAGGCTTGAATTTCGGAATCAATATTTGCAACTTTATTGAAACAATTGTAGTCCAACAAAATAATCATCCCAGAATACCACAAAATCCCACTTACTTGTTTATTTGTTGTTTTGTACTTATATTCCAAATGGACTTCTTGACTATCATCGCTACACACAAATTACTTGATCTGTTCCGTATGCTATTCAGCAATTTTGAGTTCCCAAAATCGTTACCCACGATCAAGCTTCAAACTGGATTTATCGATCTTACCAAAGATATGACTGTCTACGCAACTTGTCCTAAATGCTATTCAGTTTATCTTTATGCTACAAGCAACGGGTTAACACAGCCTGGGCCTCCACAAATATGTACATTTATCAATATCCTCAAAAAAGTACCTTGTCAAACCCCATTATTTCAAAACGGTTCCGATACTCCAATCAAAAAGTTTGTATACCATTGTCTAATAAGTTCGATTCAAAAGTTGTATCTGAGAGAAGGATTCGAGGAGAAGTGTGAAGAATGGCGTAGTTTTGAAGAGGCTGTAAACCCAACTGATATGATGTACCATTGCTCCCAGGGAAAAATGTGGCGAAGCATTCTTTCTCCCAGTGGTGACCCTTTTGTAAACAGCAGTAAATCTTTATATTTGACATTGAACGCAGGTTAGAATACAAAAGAAAAAGAAAAAAAAAAGTAAAGACGAGATATACTTACAACCCAGTTAAACATAGATGGATTCCAACCATATGATACTACCTCCGCTTCTTGCGTCTTTTTTATCTGCAAGTAAATAATTTACCAGTCGAGGAACGCATAAAGAAAGAAAACACGATACTGCTTGCATTAATCGAAGGACCGCATGAACCCAACACTTGTCAAACACAACGCCTATTATTCATTGTTACAAACCAACTTCGCTCCTTGTATTTTGGTGTTCAAATGTCTACATTCAACTCTGGAAAAC